GCGTCGATCCATCACCATCGGCAAGACCAGAAGTTCAACAAGTTCTACAACAACTGGAGGAGATTAGGCCAGAAACTGCTCCCAGTTCTGGGGACGACGGAGCTGGAGGAGGAGGAGGACCCCCTTCAACAAGTGAGTGAAAAAGAGCTGCTGGGCTATATATCCAAATAGGCAAGCAGAGTGACTTCAACAAGTGAGTGAAAAAGGGCTGCTGGGCTATATCCAAATAGGCAACCAGAGTATTAGTTAGTTAGTTAATTAGTGGATAGAACAAGAGTGCCTTCAACAAGTGAGTGAAAAAGGGCTGCTGGGCTATATCCAAATAGGCAAGCAGAGTATTAGTTAGTTAGTTAATTAGTGGATAGAACAAGAGAGGCTTCTGTGATTCTTTCAATTCTTTTAAGGGTGTTTTCTGCGAGAGTAAATTAATTTGCAAGTAGTTTTTATTGAATACAATATATTTTAAACTCAAAGATATAGAGTTTACAAGATCATCATGAACAAACGTACGTACACCGAATCGCTCGAACTAAAACTACAAGAAACTCCTCATAAATGCAAAAGGTATATGTTTGTATACATACTTGGAAAAAGCTACAATCATACTTTTCAGCTGCTCTCTTTTACATAACCTCTAGTTTCTTCTGCAAGATTCTCCCAAGCCTTTGCCATTTTCTCTGCATATCCCACCTGCAAAAATGAACTTTGAATTAAGGTACTCCAAACCGGTTACATGACGAAAGCTCGCTTTCGGTTGTGTAAATGTTGTCAAAATAATCTAACCTGATTAAGGACAAAGCCTTTTAACATATTCGTGAAGTCTTCTTGCATCTCCCAGTCGAGCCTCTCGAGCTCACTCCTATTGTTTTCCTGCACACAAATTATACTTATACTTAACACTTCATGCAGCTCTCTAGAACCAAAAGATCTCAAGCATCTGAAGACTATAATTTCAAACAATTTCAGCCAATTACAGACACACATATGGGTGGTATTTGTAATACGGATGCCTTGATGTGTAACTGGGTGCGTTCGATTTTCCATGTAATCATCTTTTATCGTCCAAAGTGAAATACTAAGTAGAAATAACACATACAGAAAAATGGGACAAACAAGAGGCAATCTAATCTACCTTGATGCGGTCATATTCTCTTACTGCACGAGTCTTAGCATCCTCTGTAACATGCACAGTATCTTTCAACTCTTCAATTTTCCGCAACCTGGACCTGTCTCCACCAAATATCTTGGACGAAGCAACCTCAAGCTTCTCGATCCTCGTTTGCAAGGAAGATAGATCTGATGAAAGGGTCTGAACTGTCAGCAGCGCACTTGCTCGGTCAGAAAATGCACCGTTGACAGCTAACATAACTCCAAGATAATCGTGAAGCTTATCCTGCAATGGATTCACGAAAGAACAAGCAATTGATGGAGTCAGTCTCCTTCAAAGGGTAATGTTTGGAAGTTTAAAGAACTTTCAAAATCGCTTAATCAATCATTTCGATACGAGTTTTATAACTTTCCAAAGTGTGGCATACTAATTCATCTTGCAACAATTTCTTAGCACTTACCAAATGCTTCACTGTTTGTGAATTTAGTTCTCTATACAATCTGCTAGCTTTAACAGCAGCAGTGGCCAAATTTTTCATGTCAGCAGCTCGTACTCTTTGAGACTCGAAGATAGCTTCTTCAGTCTCAAATTTGGACAACTTTACAAATGCTAAACCCAATTCTCCCATTGTCTCTCCGATGTCTTGCTGAGCTTTCACGAGTGATTCAGCCTTCAAAACAATGGTATATACACAAGCAACATTACTAGAAAGTATAAAGAAACGAGCCCCATTTATTTTCTCAATAAAAAATGAAGGGCATTCAGCAATATATTTCAGAATTAATCACAACTTAATCCTATTCTTCCTAGCAGAAATTTTGTTTTCCAACGTAAATCAAGCTGGACAAGAAAACTGAAGTTCAAGATAGCTTCTCAAAATGTTTATATCACTCCTAATCCAAACGCCAGAATATCTAAAATTCTCTAGTTTATACAAGATAGAGATAAGTATGAAACCTTTATAGCACAAGATTCACACCTGTAGAGACACATCGATAAGTTGCTGTTCAATGTCCATTAATTTCTCTTTCTTCTCCAAAAACTCCTTATCTTCTTCCACCACCATCGGCTTGGCCCCAACCCAATCGTTTGACATTGATTGCTTCAATTCCTTGAAGATCCTCAACAAATCTCTGCCCCCTTTTGCAGGTTTTGCCACTTCCTGCAAATCCGCCGCCGCAGTTGGTTCCCCAAATAGCTGCCTCGGCAGCTTCACCGCTCCATCAAGCATCCTTGAAGCTACATCAGTGCTTCTGACTAATGGCAATGACCCCTTTGCCTCCAAAAACATTCTCAACTCCTCACTTTTCCGAATTACTGGATGCAATGCCAATTTCCTCAAATACTTCTCTAATGCAACCCTCCTCTGCTCCACAAACTCCTGTTTCTGCATCATTTGGCTCTCCACCACGTTCTTATCCGGCCTCATCGGTATGAAAAACCCACGGTACGTCTCCAGCAACCGATCAGACAATGCGACAACATCCTTGAAACGCCTTCGAACACCAAATTCGGATCCAGGTCCCCCGTATTCAGGAAGATTCGTCCTCGTCGTAATCAGATACGTGTAAAAACCACTTCCACCGGGAATCAACGAATTGTTCAGCTCATCCATTTTCTGCGGATCCGAAACCGAAATACTCAAGAACTCAGAGCTCAAAGCGTTCGCTGTAGTAGAGAAGTCAGGGCTACCATCGCGACCATTGGACGATGAATCAAAAGACGTGAAAATCGCCTCAGCATAAGAAGGAGGCTCAAGAAACGAATCGAAAGGCGAATCAGGGCTTTGACGGTCCGCATAAGAGGGCGACGACGAAAGCAAGGGATCGTAGTTAATCGTCACCGGCCGACTCAATTGACTGTTCCGACCTTGAGATTGGGTGACGGGAGGATCGTCAAGAACCAAACTCTCCATTTCTTCACGAGACGAGTGGAGGCCCGCCTCCTCCTCCTCCTGATCTCCATTACTCATCATCATATCGAATCGAACAACGAGAGAATAACATAAAAACAAACGAGATTAGGAAAGTCAACAAAAAAAAGGCCTAAATCAACACAAGATTCATCAAATTTGTACTCTTAACATCATCGAATTCGAAGAACTAGTGGGGCAAACGGTGGGTAGTTGAAAGAAATGGAAGAGCATACGAAAATTTTCCCCGCATATGGAGACGAGCGAACACGGGAGCCGGGCAGTGAGTCACCACGTGGGTGAGAATAAGATTACGTAGAACTCGAGGGTTATCGAGGGATTCAGACTGAGTCGACTCAGTGTACGGGTTTGCCGAGTTGATGAATGTTTTAACTCGTGGATTTTTTTAGCGAGTCAGGTGGGATTTAAAGAAGACAAAATATTGTTAAAACTTCTTCACCTTATCCATTTTAGATTATTTTTTTCCGAATTAAATATTTTATGGAGATTTTATAAAAATATATATATAATTTAATCTATGTAATTTTAAATATTAGAATTATGCTTGTACGACAATTTTATCCCACGATAAACCATAACTTTATGAGATAATTTATTGGCTACAATCAAACGAATCCTGTAGCATAGACACGAGCGACTCTGATGCTCGAGTGAACTCGAATGGATGGATGTTCACGATGTCTCGATGAGATGATTGACACATGGATTAATTCCCAATAGTTGTGTCCGAGCAAGCCAAGAGGTTGATGTGTCCCAAGACATGAGATGACATCATGATGCATGGATCGTGTTGTTAAGAACTGAGATGAAAATGAGATGTGGCATTGTTGTGTTGCAACGATTGAACATGCAAACACATACATTGTGTGTGGCTAAATAAGCTTGAATTTCGCACAAACGATGTCTGATGGTTTGATGAAGCCACAAAACTGCCCGAATAATATGAGTAGAGCTTTGAGTTCCCCTTAAGGTTGGTCGTGAGCGTGATAGTTAGAAGAGAGGTGAAAACAATCATCAATAATCTAATCGAGTGAGATCAAAGATAGATAAATAAATACAGAGAGAACGTCAATAAACAAAATTAGAAAGAAATGGTTTGATTTCAATAATCTAATCGAGTGAGACCAAAGATGCTACCATGTTGACGTTTGATTTCTTATGATTTCTTAGTCATTTTTTAAAACAAAAAAATATATCTTTAACAATTACCTCATTAAAATTTTAAAACATTAACTTAATAATACTATTTGATTTAAATTATTTTACCTAAAAAATTTAATTCTTAAATTTTAATATGCAACGATTTAATTTCCATGTTTTTAAAATTTATAGCTATTTTTATTCTTTACCATAAAAGATGGATCAAATTAAATTCATTTTTGATTACGTACGAATTTGGTATTTTCTTATAAATATATTTAACCACCGCTCAATTTATAGGTTAAAAATATCCATTAAATCTAAATTATTATAAATTTAAAAGTGGGTTATTACGTAAAAAAAAATTTAAGAATTAAATTTAGTACCCTTTTATCCTTCAGTTAAAAAGTACAGTAAATGTAATAAATGTTAAAAGTATAAAAAAGGAAGCGTTGAAACTCGAAACTTAAAAAATTACTGCTCCGAAAAGGGTAATTTAGGGGGGAAAAAATTACGGAGGAGGTGAAAAATTGGGAAAAAAGGAAGAAACTTAGGTGGACAGATTTATTGGTTGTTTCGACTTACAATCCCAATTTCCAACCAAAAACCAACGCCACAAGTTTCTGATCACACGTGGCCGTTCTCAGGCTTATCTCATCAATTTCATCATCTGGACCCTCAGATTCCCTTCCCATCACGTCAATCTAAGCCCTCTGATCTTCCATTTTTCTATTTCCCAAATTACCCTCTCCCTCTTTCCTTATTTACACTCCCCCGCCTCTTTGCCGCTACTAGTCTACGGCCCTCTCTTTTTTTTACCATTCATGCAAAGTAATGGAACGGATTCCGAGGAGCTTTTTAGCACTTTTGGGCTTTGGATTGCTCCGCCTCAGTCACTTCACTCCCCTCTCTCTCTCCCTTTCGAGCTTTCAGGTATTTCTCTCTCGTTTTCGCATTGCATTTCCACCTCTGTTCGTCTCGTTTTTGTGGCGGTACTCGTCCGCCGGGGGATGATCGCCACCGGTTGAGTTCCTCTTGTGGTTAATCAGGTCTGTGATTTGATCGGACTTTGTTTTCTCTCGATTTTTGTTTGGATTGTTTTTGGTGTGGAGTGTGATTGCGGTTACGATGATGGTGATGAACGGTGTGTATTTTTTCAAGGAGGATGATTGTTTTTGTAATGGCGACGGTTAATTGTTGATTGGTCTTGTTTGTTTTCAGCTCAAATTATAGGTATTTTCATGCCTGTTTGTGTTTTTCTCTCTTTCTGTGTTTTGTTTAATATCTCTGTTTCTGTCGATTATGGGGATACTAATTTCTTCTGTGTTTCCAGCCGACGGCATTATTATTGAACGGTTCTCCATTTTCACTGATGATGGGATTGGTGTTTTCAGGAGTGGAGCAGTGAAAATCAGCTACATGACGATGACCTTGCTTTTCGTGTCATTTTCGATTTTTTGCTGAATTTCTGTAAGTTTACATGATTGAATGATGGGAGGGTTTTTTTCCGAATTAACTTCGCAGGATTATCTTTTAAAATGAAGCTATGATTAGTGTTGTAACGTCTGAAGTGATAGTGGGCTGTGAACTTTGCGCAGAAGGTTTAGAAATACGAAGGGGATTTTTTTAAAGAAAAAATTATTAATTGAGTACCATTTTTGTAACTGCGATGATTCTTACGTTGTGCAAGACTACATAAGAGCAGAGTTATTAACATGGGTTCTTGTTGGGTTTCATTCTTGCAGATAATCGATTTGTTTTTCTTGGTGGAAATTGTTAAAGCGGCTCTGCTGTTTGGGTGGCGATAAAGGATGGTTAAAAGACGTTTATATGAATTCAAGCATCCATTCAATGATTACCGTAATATTTGCCTCTCTCCTTCTTTCTTTTTACGTTCTCGATGTTGCAATGGTAGTAATATGATGACCTCCAACTATTTCGTGGTCTCAGATCTGGATGTTAACAATCCAATATCATACATGTTATCTCTGTTGTTCGTACGTCTGATAAATCCTTTCAGATATTGCATAATTCAGTACATTCAGTTCATTAGGGAAATGTCATCTATTTTTTACTCTACCTTCATATGCATTTCCTAAGTTCAACTTTTCAGTTAAAATTCTGATTTCTTTCTGAAAGCTTTCGAGGCGATATGCTGTGGTTCTTGGCAAGCTGCAGAGAAAATAAGAATTAGGAATGGTTCAATCACCCTTCATTTAGTGAATGATCAGTTCATGATTCTGGAAAGAGGTCCTTACACAGACTTCCGCATTAGGTCGAGACAAGCGACTTCATCTGACTGCACCTGTTTTCTACGACCTGGTGTTGATATTTGTGTCCTCTCTTCCTCTCGCAGCACGGAGAATACTGATGTGCAAGGTTCAGAGCCTGTAAGCGACCTTCTATTCAATTTTCTGAGCTATATTTAATTTGCATTTTTTTTAATATAGCATTCCCCCATTATTGTGCTCTAACATATGAAATGTCAGGTTCATGGAGGGATAATAGTTCTTGTTTTTTTCAATCAGTAGAACTCCTTCAACATCAAATTTCTTATGAAATGATTTTGTTTTAGGAAAGTATAACATTTCTTCTAAAACTATATTCTTATTTTGTATCATATTTGTTTCAATTCTGGATTTGATGCTCTTTGTCTGTCCTATTAATTGAAGTTTGATATATTTGAAGTGTTTTTTCTAATGTTAATGCCATGTGTGTGTTCCTTTTCCTATAGCGTTGTTCTGGTTCATTTGAAATGTGTTGTCATTTCTTGTTTGTTAACCATTTGAATAATTTTCAATGGAAATTTGTTAGGCTCATATTATGCCTTTCTTCAAGTTTCAATTTTCTTGTACAGGTTAATTAACTGCAGTTTCTCTGAACTTCTGTCTGTTCATAGATTGCTATTTCTTCTGCTAATGATATCTACATGGTACTTCTGCTATTAAGATTAACATGGTACCTATTATCCAGGAAAGAAAGATAACTTCAAACTGTGTAATATAGACTTTGTTTCACTGCCAGGTCTATGGAAAGAAATGTCAATAATAAACTTACTAAAATACTGAAGTTTCTATTAGACAACACTACAATGTTGAAATGGATGGTGGTCTCATTCACCTAAATTGATTTATGTTTTTGACTCTTGAATGATTTATATTTGGAGAGCTCTTGTTTTTTATCTAGAGCTTAATCAACAGGGTTGCTTTCTTAGGTGTGGATCGATGCTAAAATAAGCTCAATTGAGCGGAAGCCTCATGATTCTGGGTGTTCATGCCAGTTTTATGTCCAGTTATATGCTGCTGATAAAAAACCCCTTGGTTCAGAGAAGGGATCGCTTTGTAAAGAAATCATAGCAATGGGAATTGATCAGATCTTTGTACTTCAAAAGGTTAGGAAACACTTCTGTGAAGGTCAACACTACCGATGGGATTTCTCTGAGGACTGCGCTCTGTTGCCAAAAACGAAACTGCTTCTGGGAAAATTTCTGTCCGATCTTTCTTGGTTAGTAGTAACATCAGCATTGAAACATGTCACTTTTGATGTAAGATCAGTGGATAACAAGATCTTGTACCAAGTGTTGGAAAGTAATCAGAAGGGCACTTCAGTAGCTTCTGACAAGATTTTAAACGTTGTAAACTTTAGAAATGATGAAGGTATGTTTATTCCAATAATACATCAGCTAAATTCATCTGATAGGATTGAGATGTCTCCTGCAGATGATGCATTTGACAGTCAATTGCACTCATTTACTGATCTTATGGACTTGAGGCGTTCAAAACGCCGTAATGTCCAACCCGATCGTTTTCTTGGCTGTGATAGTATCAATGAATCAGAAATTGACTACAGCGGAACCAGGATATATAAAACAGAGCAATTGAATGATGATGATGAGATGACATTACCACTTGCTTACCTGTTTGCCACGAATGCAGGTCCTTCAAAAGTAAAGATGGAAAATGAAAGCAACAATCATTTCAATCAATTGAGTGTACGTGATGATCTCTCTGATTTCAAGAGCAGACTAAGATCATTGGAAATGAGTGATGAAGTAGAAGATAAAAATCAACTTGCTATAGTTCCTGTAATTGATGAACAGCCAATAGCATCTGATCCATATCCTGATGATGCCAATGGTTGTGGTAACTTTACGAAACAGATTACTGAAATGTCAGCTAGGTATTACTACATTAACAATAAACGCAAAGTCCGGAAAAGAAACTCTTCAGACTTTGAAGACGAGAACTTTGAGAATGGTAGCTGGGGAAAGGCTTTGAGTAGTAAAGGTAGGAAGACCAGGTATCATTCCATATGTTATAAAGAGGATGGTTCTCCTAAAGAAAGAACTTGGCAGAAACGGTCCTTAGGTGCAGGTGCATACAAGGATTTGATCAATTCCTTCCTGAAGAATATTGACTCAACAATTCAAAAAGAAGAGCCACAGATAATTGATCAATGGAAAGAATTTAAGAACAAAACTTCCTTGGATAAGAGGAACGAGATGGAACTGCCCTCTAATGAGGAGAAGGAAGAAAACTCTGAGATTGAAATGCTGTGGAGAGAGATGGAAATATCCCTTGCCTCAAGTTACCTTATTGATGCTAACCAGGTAAACTAATTAAACATAAATGATCCTAGATTTGTTATAGTTAAATGGATATTCATGATGATGCTCATTCAGATTGCAAAGATTTGGTTTTACAGGGTTTTAGTAATGGAACATCAGTGGAGCCCGAACAGAAAGAAAGCAAATGGTGCCAGCATGAGTTCAAGTTGAATGAAGAGATAGGGATGCTCTGCCATATATGTGGCTTTGTGAGCACTGAAATTAAAGATGTCTCAGCACCATTTGTAAGTCAAATTCAAAACACTAGAATGCTGAAATGTTTTTATCATATTCTTCAGTAATCTTTCACTCCGCCTATCTTGGCTGGGAAACTTTTGATATCATAGTATTGCTCCATGTGAAACTTTTGATATCTTAGTATCACTCCATGTGCATACTCTTCTACAAATGAAATAATGTGCTGTAGGATATGCTCGTAAAATGTTGTTTTATGATTTGAAATGACATCTATAAGTCTGCATCATTGGTCTATCTGGCCCTCATTTTTCTTTTGTGCAAATTGTTATTTGCATATTTTTCAATTATGTTGTGTTTGATCCCATCCTTATATTGCTTCTAAAATGTTGTAAATTATGGCTGGTGTTCCTTTTTTATGCTACCTCAACAGATATTGACAACTTTTTTCTCTCTATAGATGCAACACATGAGCTGGAATTCCGAAGAGCGGAGGATTGAAGAAAAAGATGAGCACAATACTGACGATGAGGAGGAGATGAATATTTTCTGTGGCCTGCCTTCTTCTGATGGTACCTTATCGGAAGAAAATGACAATGTCTGGGCCTTGATCCCTGAATTCAGAAGGAAATTACATCTCCACCAAAAAAAAGCATTCGAGTTCCTGTGGAAAAATGTTGCTGGTTCTATGGTTCCAGCTCTCATGGATCAAGCATCTCGTAAAATAGGTGGTTGTGTGATATCCCATACACCAGGAGCTGGAAAAACCTTTCTGATCATCTCATTCCTCGTTAGTTACTTGAAACTGTTTCCAGGGAAAAGGCCCCTTGTCCTTGCTCCAAAGACTACTCTTTATACATGGTATAAGGAATTTATTAAGTGGGAAGTTCCAGTACCAATTCATCTAATACATGGTCGTAGAACCTACCGAGTTTTCCGGTCGAACTCAAAACCAGTCACGTTTGCTGGAGGTCCAAGGCCGACAGATGATGTCATGCACATCTTGGATTGCTTGGAAAAGATAAAGAAGTGGCATGCACATCCAAGTGTTCTTGTTATGGGCTATACATCATTTCTTACATTAATGAGGGAAGATGCAAAATTTGCTCACAGAAAGTATATGGCCAAAGTTTTGCGCCAAAGCCCCGGTATCCTAATATTGGACGAGGGGCATAACCCCAGGAGTACTAAGTCCAGGCTGAGGAAGGTTTTGATGAAAGTTGAAACAGACCTCAGAATACTCCTCTCAGGTACCTTGTTTCAAAATAATTTCTGTGAATATTTCAATACTCTTTGTTTGGCAAGACCTAGGTTTGTGAATGAAGTGTTGAAGAAACTAGATCCCAAATTCAAGAGGAAAAAAAGAAAAGCTCCACACCTGCAGGAAGCTCGGGCAAGGAAATTCTTTTTAGATAAGATAGCTCGGAAAATCGATGCAGGTGATGGAGAAGAGAGGCAGGAAGGTCTGAACATGCTAAGAAATATGACAAGTGCGTTTATTGATGTTTATGAAGGTGGAAGTAAGGATGGCCTTCCTGGTTTACAAATTTACACCTTACTAATGAACACAACTGACATACAGCAACAAATTTTGAATAAACTTCATAAGATAATGGCTAAATACCCTGGATATCCCCTTGAGTTAGAGCTCCTCATAACTCTTGGTTCAATCCATCCTTGGTTAGTAAAAACTGCGGTTTGTGCTAGCAAATTTTTCAGTGAGAGGGATCTGATGGAACTAGAAGGATACAAATTTGATTTGAGGAAAGGTTCAAAGGTGATGTTTGTTCTGAATCTTGTGTACCGTGTCGTCAAGAAGGAAAAAATTCTAATCTTCTGCCACAACATTGCACCCGTCAAACTATTCATAGAGCTGTTTGAGAACGTATTTAGGTGGAAGAGAGGCCGAGAAATCTTGGCCCTCACAGGGGACCTTGAGCTATTCGAACGAGGAAAAGTGATGGATAAGTTTGAAGATCCCTTAGGGCCATCCAAAGTCTTGCTTGCTTCAATTACTGCTTGCGCAGAAGGCATTAGTTTGACTGCAGCTTCACGAGTCATCTTACTAGACTCCGAGTGGAATCCTTCGAAGACAAAGCAGGCCATCGCTCGAGCTTTCCGTCCAGGCCAGCTTAAGGTGGTCTATGTCTATCAACTACTGGTAACTGGCACATTGGAAGAGGACAAGCACAAGAGAACTACATGGAAGGAATGGGTGTCAAGTATGATTTTCAGTGAGGCGTTTGTGGAGGATCCTTCTAAATGGCAAGCAGAAAAGATTGAAGATGAAGTTCTTAGGGAGATGGTGGAGGAAGATAGAGTCAAATCGTTTCATATGATTATGAAAAACGAGAAGGCTTCTACTGTGATCAGAGAGAAGGATTAGCCTCACAATATCCTGGTAAGTTATCTCTCTTCTTCTCTGTCTCATATCATATCATATGTATGAATAATGACTGCTTCCTCTCCTCTCATGTTTATTAAATAGATGTTTGTATAATAAGATGAAAATTGTGTTATTCTTTACCAATAATCATCTGTTGTGCAATTTTGAACTTTAGTGGAATTAACTGCATAGTTGTGACTTGATGAACTATTTTCTCAACCATTTTGCTTATAACAAGCTGCTGATCTTGGAAATTCATGTTTTGGGAATTTGATTTGCCATATTTGCTTTACATCTGACACCGCCTCATTCACAACTTTATTAATCTTTTTCATTTAGCTGAAGGGTTTCAATTGTCTTCTCAAAATCACATTTAATTTGCGTTACTTTTCCTCTCTTCTAATTTCTAGATTGTTGACTAATTAGAAAAAGTTATCTAATGCTTTTATACTAATTGTGGTGTTAAGCGTGATTGTGTTAATTATATCTATTGATACTGATGTACGATTTTATGTCTCCTTTATGTTCATGCTATAGGTTACAACGTGGAGACTATTTAAAGGGCCACTAACTAACCTTTAGTATCAAACTTTCTATAGATTAACATAGGCGGTATATATATCTTAGTAGTAGGTTCGATTGACATAGTTTGCATATGCATCTCAGTAGTAGGTATTATCAAGTTACTATGTGAGACTATCAGAGAGTTACCAACCACTAGTATTGAATTGAGTATGCATATAGATCTCAATAGTTGGTCAAGACAGGAGGTCGCTCCCTTCATCTTATGTTATCAAGAACTTGTGAGGACTGCTAATTAATAGTAGGTATAAGCATTTGTGAGGACAATTACAAGATTGCCAACTAACATCTATTAGTGACGGTCCAGATTGATGGGGTATTCTACAAATAAAGAGATTAGTATAATAACTTTTTTTTTTTCCGAGTATGAATAGGTACGAAAACTTGGAGATAGCAATAATTTAATGAATTATTGAAGCTTCAATTGGGCAATAATTTATGAGAGATAGTGATCAAAGTGGTCCGTACGCATCAGCATGGACAGTAGGAAGAAAGATGAGTGTTGGAAAATTTGGGAAATTGGAATGCATTTATTTTTTATTTACTTAATTCTTACTTTTTTCCAGCTTTAAATTTGAAATAACACAAATATAGTATTTTATAACAAATTTAAAATCAAAATTTGATTTAAAAATTTCTAAGATGTTTCTAGTTTGCCACAGTAATTCTTTAAATAGATTGCATGGTCGCATATATGCTTATTAATGTGCTCATACGAATATGGATGGAATTAGAGCCACATAAGTTGTCCAAGTGCGTAGTAGTGGGTGAATATTTGGTGCCAAAACTAACATTAAGTACTAAGACCCATTTTACATAAATTGAAATGAAAATTTTATTCCTTTGTTATTGTTTATCAACAGTTATTTGGATTTAAAATTATTAATTTATTAATTAAAGATTGCGGCTGCTGGGAAGGGAGTTGGGCTTTACTGACAAGGAAAATTTCAGATTTAAAATCGAGGCTCACTGCTCATAGATATCATACTTTGCTGGTAGATATCATACTTTTCTTTCAAAGAATTTTTTTCAAGGTTTATGTTAGAGAAGTTTTACGAAAATGCTTTTGTTCACCTATCCAGAAAATGTGCTCTTTCATTAAAAACGAAAGCGTCTAACCAAGTGTTTACTATAAATTCCTCGAATTGTGGATGATATAGGCCGATTCCACTCCCCATCATCATTTTGTCTTCATGGAGGTTAAGAAACCATTTTATTTTTTTTGCCATGATTTTGAGTATTTGCCACGGCGGGAGGTGACGTTTATAAAACCCTAAAAATTTATAAAATGTTTGATATTTCTACCCATTTAAAATTATGTATTATAATTAAATTTTCTACCTAATAAAAAAACAAAACTTTGGCTAATTTTAATTTTTAATATCATTATAAAAAAAATAAAAAAAAATAGCATGCTTAAGCTATTCATATTCCTAGCTTTTCACGTTTTTTTCAATTTAAGTTATTAGAAATAAAAAATAAAAAACCAGCAACTAGCTCATATCTGTTTTATTTTTTAATAACACCAAATATAATTAAAAAAAATTCAATAATACAAAATTTAATAAAAATAAAATAAAAAATGAGAAAGTTGCAATTAAGTAAAGTAAATGGCAATTAGTTGGTGTCCAAAGACGCGCAAGTTGATTATCCACTTGCAAGTCCGGCGTAAGCTTTATGATTAATAATTTTTTTAAAAAAATTTAATATACATATATATATATATATATATATATATATATATATATTCAATTATTGAAAATACTCCAAAAACCTTTAAATTTTTCAAAAATATTTAAACTTTAAAAAAATCTAAAAAAATATAGTTACGTTTTAGATGGAAATCTTGATTTATTTAACAGAAAAAAAAAACTCTTTTAAAAAATATTTTTAAATTTTAAAAAAATTCAAAATATTTTTATGTCGATACTAGGTTTAAAAAATATAAAATATAAAATTAGTATTAAACACCCTATATGTTTTATAAAAAAAAAAAAAAAAAAAAAAATCTAAAATCTCATAAATTATTTTCAAATTTTAAACTAACTATATTTTTTAATTTTCTAAAAAAATTAAAAGGATATTAATGAAAATTTAGAAAATTCAATGGTATTTTTTAAACCATTTTAAAGTTAAAAAAATATTTTAGAAATATTTTAAAATTTTAATGATATTTTTGAAATGAAGTATTAATAATTTTTATGAAATTTTTTTAAATTTAAGAATATTGTTTTTGAAAAAAAAAATCTCTTTCTCTCACTTCTTTCTCTCTCCTCTTTTTTCCCATTACGCGATTATATATATGGGGAAAGGCCCATTTTGCGGTTGTCTATTCGTCTTCTCAAATCATCCCTAACGCTGCTAAAAAGAAAGAAGAAATCACTGGTTCTACACAGTTTTTTGAAGAATGTCTTCTTCAGTTCACCTTCACCGGATCAATCCGAGCAAGAATCCCGGCGGAGGTGGCGCCTCCGCGGCAACGATGATGAACTGTCACAGAAGCGCCGCGGCGGTGGAGGTGGTGCGGCAGAGGATGAGCATTCCGCGGAGGGACGGGGCGCCGGTGCCGGTACCCGACGCGGTGGCTCGGTACCATGCGCACGACGTCGGATCAGAACAGTGCTGCTCCGCCGTGATCCAGATCATCGACGCTCCGGTTTCGACGGTGTGGTCCGTGGTGCGACGGTTCGACAATCCTCAGGCGTACAAGCACTTTCTCAAAAGCTGCCACGTCATCTACGGTGACGGTACCGTCGGCACTCTCCGGCAGGTCCAAGTCGTCTCCGGTCTTCCCGCCGCCTCGAGCACAGAGCGCCTGGAGATTCTTGACGACGAGAGACATGTGATGAGCTTTTGCGTCGTAGGTGGAGACCACCGCCTGCGAAACTACCAATCCGTTACCACACTGCATACGATTTCATCATCATCATCAAATTCAAACAACGAATCGAAATCGTTGACGGTTGTGGTGGAATCTTATGCAGTTGATGTACCGCAAGGCAATACCAGAGAAGAAACGTGCAATTTCGTTGATACGATCGTACGGTGCAATCTCCAATCTCTCGCACACATCGCTGAGAACATGGCCAAAACTTCCTAAAATTTGGATCCATTTCTTCTTCTACTTGTTTTTGTGATACAGGTGTGCAAGTGGATTTTAATCGCACTGTGGATCATTATTAACACACATACATTCACGATTGCAGCCTCTTTTTCCCCCTCTGAAACCGATCTCTGCAGATTCATTCACCCCCTGATTTACCTTTTCCTTTTGTCCGTACGAATTGTTGTATCTATAAATTTGTTCTTCCTTTATGCGTCCAGTTATATGGATCTTTCTTCTGAAATTTGGCCATTTCTTAGAATCCTCTTCTCCACGGTTGCTTGGAAAGGTTCATATAGGGGGAGGTTCAAAGTTCAAATTCCAATAGAGTACACAATTATTTAGTTAATCGAGGCATGAACAAGGAGGGGAGATTTGATTGGTTAATAAATACAAATTAAAAGTTTAAATATCTACAAATGGAATTAAAATAGCGAATAAAAGCTTGGAGGAATCAAACAGCTGCAATTAAGAGGTTGTGGAAAAACAAGAGGCCCATTGCAAGTTGCCTCTGTTTTTTATTTTTTTAATTTAATATAAATATAATATATGTATCTAAATATTCTCACAATTTAATTATTTTTCATATTTTCAAAAAAAAACTTTGCAACTTGCTTAACCAACTTGCCCATATAAAGACACTTTTTTTCTTTTTTCTTTTTTTTTTTTATATATATTTGTTTCAAATAAATAAACTACTCTATTAATTTTCTCTTCTAAATATTTTTCATAATTTTTCTCTCTCTAAATACTTTTTGTAGTCTATTATCTTCAACTAAAAGGGAATAAATTAAATTATCAATTATTCATAGCTTTATATCGATATTAATTAGTCATAATATGCAGATGTGAAATTTTGAAGATAACGAAAGAAAAATTAATGCATTTTTAGGTAAGTATTTTAGTTTTTAGAGGATTTGTGCCATTGATCACTTGAATCATTATATTTTCTTCAATTAATTAATTGATAATTTTACATTTCTTTTCCAAGAACAAACATATAAGACATTGTTTTAATAAAAAAAATTCCCTTCCAAAAAAACTCAGCTCATCCATTTGAATTTCACATGAACGAATATGTTCTGAGGCATGAAACAACATTACGATGCATGAATTGTGTCATTGGGTACCAAGATGACAATGAGATGCGATGTGGTTGTGTCGCACATGATTGAACACGCATACTGACATTTGTGGTTGAACAAGCTTGGATTTCACATAAGTTGTGTTTGATTGGCAAAGGCAAACTTTACCGATGGTACAATGAAGTTAAGCCGGGCAAAAAATAGGAATAGAGCTTGAGTCCCCTTTAAGACTTGTCGTAAACGTGTCAAAATCACGACGCCGCACAATAAAAGATGTACGACCGTGATAGTAATGATTCACTCTCTATCTTTCAATTGATTTTCTCATCTTTATCTCCCCTCACCAATCCCAAATCTCACAAACCCACGCCCACATGAAACAAAGAGGATCTGAGGGAACCCAGATGAATTTTAACATCAATTAATGAGGATAGAAAAGTTTGGTAAAAAGAAGCTCATTCCAAGTATCTTGGACACCAGGCATGCACCAATGGATGCAATCCGCATAGCTTACCGGGTTCGCTAGCTGCTCCGGCGTCACTGGTGACCATTGCTTCTTGTAAATCGATGTGTGTGCATCTCTACGATAGCTCGAGAGTTGTGTGATGTTAAGAAATGTGATAGGAAATTTCGACTTGCTGAAAACTTCTCCAATCACTTCCATTATGCTTTTTTTCGAATCAGATCCCCAATAGTTTGGATCTTCAATTAGAGTCGTTTGGTTGTAGCAGTTGCCACCCTCTTCATCACCCCAATCAATACTCCTGTAGAGCCAAATGAAAGCTTGGTTATGTTACAATGGCTATGACAAAAAACATTATTCAATATAGCCACTACAAATATGTGCCATCCTCAAATAATTTTTCGTGTAAAATCAGATGTCATATTATATTCGAGTCTGAAAATAGAGAACTAACTTTCCATGAGAAGGAGACATGGAAGTGAAGAAAACCCTAGTCTTTTTGGGGTCCATGTTCTTCCTAACCCATCTCAACATGCTATTCATTGCCATGCGATAAGCATCCTTTGTGGGCAGCTCTACCATGTCATGTGCTTCGTCCTCGAAAGACCCTTGTCTGGAAAATTTCATTTAATTCATTCAAAAACTATTATTATACAGTAGGTTCAAATATATATTGAGAATATTTCTTACTGGATTTTCATGTTCGAGCCAGTAATCCACCAAAGATAAGTATTGAAAATCATAATATCACTCTCTTTCCAATGTCTTCCATGTTTTTTAATCGAATCTCTTCTCACTATCCGATCCGAAATTCGGTGGATCACTGCGTTATCCGAGTTCGATTCCAAGAGAAACGGCGCCCAATAGAACTCAATTGTCATGTTGTACTCCTATATTCATTCAATATCAATTAATAGTTATTAGAAGTCTATATTTTGCTTAAAAAAACTTCGAGAAACATATAAGTTAGCATACATACCTTGGCAGTGAAGACGGTGAGTGAACCGAATGTCTCCATGGATTTGGCATCGTCCGAAATTAGAGAGTGAAGAAGACAAACCATTGAAACATATTGCCCTCTATTTAGAGAATCTCCAACGAACATCATCCTCTTTCCCCTTAAGGTTTCTAGCATCATGCTCGCATTAAACCTTCATTTAAAAAAAAAAAAAAAAAAAAAAAAGTAAAAAATTAAAAGTTCTATCAATTTAATATGTATTATTTAATTTTACTAATATTTCAATTCTTTTTTGAGTTCTTACCCGGATGAGATGCAAACTTCTAACTAATAATTTTATTTAAATTTTAAATAAAAACAAAATATCCTAAATAAATTTACAAAAATACTTGTATAAAGCCTAAAGAATCAAACAAGAAAAGGAAAAAAAAAAAAACCTAAAGTTATTATCAAAATGTCAAAATCTAATTTAAAACCAACCACTTGCAACAAGTTGATTCATTTATGGGATATTCTTTCTAGATCAAGATTTGATTTTTAATATAATATTAATGCTACAAATAATTTAAATCCACATATTTCTAAAAATATCCACATATTTCTAAAAATATCCACATATTTTCTCCAATTTGGTTCTGCACGTCACCCTCGTGACTATCGGCCGGACCTTATACTAATGCCACCATACGTTGTCGTTTCGTTCCAATTTTATTTTTTAATAATTGCATGGCTTTTTACGGAATCATTTGAAAAATCTGAAATAACTCACAACTATATAATATTTTAATAGAACTTTCATCGACTTTTTGTTCATAAAAAAATTGTGTCGATATTTTAATATTGGACAAATTGAAATTAACAATACCGTTTTACTTTGGTCAAACCTGTTGTCATTGAACCGATACTCGTTTTTATTATTTTCGTAATTTCTTTTCTTATAAATAATTTTTATTATACTCCCTAATTGTTTTATTTATTATTATTTTCTATTTCATTCTTTCTAACTTTAAAATAATAATAATAATAAAAAAAACAATTTTGATGCTAAGTTAGGTAAGATATAACATGGAAAATGACCTTCCTATTAAATGCCCAAAATTAAAAGGGACTAAAATTGAAGGATTAAAATTAAAAATTTTAAAGCATTAGAAATAATATATATATATATATATTTCCTTTCTTTTTTAGGGATTAAGTTAAATTTCAACAACCGATTTATCTACATAGATGGAAAATGAAAGGTAGGAAATAAAATCAAACAAAAAAGAAAAAACAGAGACAGAAAAGGGATACCTGGAAAGATTGCAGCCGTAGGGCTGCCACCGCCAGTACTGATAACTCCGGTCCGGCCGGCCGTGCTTCTGACACGTCAGCTGCGGCGGAATGTACGGACAATCCGACTCATCATATAGCGGCCGAGTCACCTCGTCCCTAACCCAGCTCCCACTGAACACGTCACACCCCTCCTCCAATTTCCCTGTCTCAAATGCCAATTTCTCCCTCTTCTTCTCTAACCACCCCACACCCACAAATCAAACCAGGATCAAATTACCTCTAAACTCAAAAGCTTAAAATTTATGGATTTCAATCATGATGGGTTTAATATCACGTTGAAGCTTAAGTGCATGGAAACTACCATAGAACCATAAAACAAATGTGACTATCCAATATTAATAAGATAACCTCCAACTCTAAACATTGCAACTAAATCTGAAGGCTTTGAAGCTTTGAAGCTTTTAAGTTTCGGTATATTAATTCTCGATGAAAAGTAAAAGGGATAAGAACTCACCTGTGGCGGGGGCGAGGTCGAGCTGGAGTTGCAGGCTGAAGACACAGGCAAGGTCTTTACGAAGGATGGAGATGAAGAAGATGAAGACCACGAGAGTGAAGAGGTATGGGGAGAAGCGAGATTTCCTGAGGATGGAGGAGGAAGAGTTGGGAGGAGGAGGCTTCATTTGAGAGCAAAAAAAAAGGCAAAATTAGAAGTTTTAATGTTAGACAAAAACGTTGATGCTAATAATATATGTACCCATAAGTTTTGGTTTATTGGCAATTTTGCCTCAATTAAATGAATGAATTTGCTCTTAAAAGCAATAGAATATACATTATAATATAGATTAAAATAAGGCTTATTGGTAAATAGGTTAAAAGTTGGCATCAAGAGTAGGGCATGTTTTATATTGGGTTTGACTTGCCAAGGGCATATAAGTCATTGTCTTCAAGGTATTGAAAATGAAAAAGAAAAAATAAATCTCTAGGTTATATATGATTATTTTATTGGGTTCAAATCTTATTCTCTCTCTTTTTCCATTGTTTGGTTCAAGAAGATAGGAGAAGAGATTCAAGCAGAAATTAAAATAGATATAATATGCTCTAACAATTAAACTATACCGACATTATGAATTCAAATAAAAAAACGATACAGAGATTTAAACCTTCAATGAAGATACAAATTTTTAAAATATTAGGGACAAAATCAAAATGCATACATTATGGACAATTTGTAAAAGTATTTGGTTTCATATTCAACCACCTAAATACTTGGTTTGGAAGTTTCCTTCAAAGTTGTAAAAATTTCAATTATGTTGGAAATGGCCAAGGGACTGTTGCTATAAAAGCTAAAAAGGTTGAGGGTAAAATTGAAAAGCAAACAATATTAAGTGCAAAATTGACAACCACATAAATCAGAGGGCCCTTTGCACAATTTAGCATAAAAATAGTTTTAAACCATGGAATTACGTTATAAAATAGACATACCATAAGCATGTGATCACGTTCATTTGAATCTCGATCTCTCGCTCGAGTGGGTAGAAGACTGGGTTATGGAGAGAAGGACTACCCGACAGGAGCTATCTCTCTCTCTCCCTAAGCTTCTCAAGTACAAGATGCAGATCTATAGCAGAGGTATAAGGTTGCTAGCGCAACTTCAGGATGACCTCTTGTGGCTGTATTTGCCTAACCAAACAAACCCATTAGAACTTGATTTGCAAAAAATTCATGGTAAGAGAGCAAACAAAACAAGGAGTCTCACCGGAAATTTGAAGCACAAAATGCGTGTTATCAGAAGTTTACCGGAGAATAAATATCTCGATGACCTTGCGAGGGTCCCTTAAATTTTTGGACCAGAGATGCAAACAAACTCTGCAATGTGATATAAGTTCCAAGCATGTGCAAGAGATACAGGGAGTTTGAGACAGAAAAGAAGAGAAAAACAGTAGTATACCTGAATTTTATGAGGTAGGCTAAGCCAGAATTTTAGGTTGGGAATAACCTGATAGGAAAAGGAGGTGGAGAGAAAGGATATATTAGAACGGTTGTAGAGATCTGAACTGCGTTCATAAATCAAAAATGATCTTGAAAAGGCTGCAGTAGAGATCATACGTACATTTTTAATCGTGCGGTGTCATGATCGCTTATGACAAGCCTTAAGGGGAACCTAAGCACCATATTTATTTTTTTGCCCATATTTGTGGCTTTATTAGACCTTAGGTAAGGTTTGTTTTCATCAACTGAACACAATTCATGCAGAATCTAAGCTTGTTCGACCACACACGCCACCCATGTGTGCATGTTCAATCGTATGCGACCTATCTGATTTGCCTCTACACTAGGCCAAGTATTTGGCTCGACTTTGCTTCTACTTGAGGTCAAGGTCTCTCACATGCAACGCTGCATCTCATCTTGTCATCTTGGTTCCCAAATTAACACGGTCTACATGGTTTGATGTCATCCCAAGTCTTGGCATGTCATCGACCCTCGTAGCTCACTCGGTCATGTCCATCAAGATCAGACTCATGTGTCACTTATACCATCGAGGGATCCCAAACATCCATCCATCCAGATTTTATCGAGGCATTCGACCCTTTCATGTCCGTGCCATGTCATTTACAGATTCCGTACCAGATAGCGGGTACATATACCAACCACCAACACATGCGAGGGTCCCCCACAATCCTAGAATACGCAATAAAAAAAACAAAAACAAAAAAACTAACCTGCAGGAACATGAGGTGCACATACCAAGCAATCAACATACATAGGTGGATCATGATTGAAAATCATCCCATCCCATAGCTGCTCCACAACAAGCATCAAAGATATCACGAAGTTAAACAAGTAAACTACCTTATTATATAAAAGACACACAAGAAAAAATCTGCTGAATGTCAAAATGATGAAGCTTTTCATGTTCCATGCGCAACTATCATCTTATCAGTTTTACAAAGGATCCAGACATATCAACCGTTTGATACACAGAGGTCAAGTTTGAAGAAAACCATCAATCAGCTGGTTTTAGGTACAAAATATATCGGCTTGTGATATGAGACAAAAATTAAAATTGATCACAGAAACAAGTAAAAGATCAAATAATAGACTTCCAAAATCATGCCAAGAATTATAAGAATGATACTAGAGTTATCATATGCAGGGTGAGTGCATCTTGTTCATATCTATTGATTATAAATATGTAGGTGTATATACGAGCTACTAAGGAACAGGAAGAAACTGCAAAGCTATAGTTCAAAGGAAATAAGATCTAGTTTCCTAATCACACAAAGAATATGCTTATTTTTGCCGAATATTGAGCTAGTATCACATATCTATTGAAATTGTCAATATACAGGAAGGATAACAATTTATAAGAAAGTATTGATACTCGATGAAAAAATAATATGTAACCTGATGGAGCAAACCTGAAACCAGGCAATAGTATCATTTTCTGCTACTCTGTAAAACCTAACAGAAATGAATAGCATAAATAAAATAGAAAAGTGAGAAGAAATGAACAACATAACTTACATTAAACGTAGGAAGAGAAATAAAATTCTGATATAAATCACTCTTCCTTTGAACTATCAAACCAGAGGCAGAGGAAGATTAGCAATATCCGTCTTCGCTGAGGACTCCATGCGGGAACTCGGAGATGGACAATGCCGGATCGAAGTTATACATCTTGCCATTGTTAACGAAACCGAATTCGAAAATGGAAAAGACCGAATCGAAGGGCAGCATTAGGCGTAGAATCATGAAGAAAATGGTAGCTCATTCCACAAAATTGATTCTACGCATCATTTTCCTCCTGCTAAAATCTCGTGCCAGTTTTCTTGCAGCCTGATTTCTTGTTTTCGTTCTCTATTTTGTGATCTTTCTGTTTCTTCGAGACAATCTCCGTACAGATTATGGCTTTGCGAGAACCGAATTTCTCGATTTGCAGAAATGAGACCGCACCCGAGTGGTCGAAAGAACCATGCCGTTCCTATAGAGGAATTCGCGGGGTTTTTTTTTTTTTTTTTTTTTTTTTTTTTTTTTTTTGAAGGTTTTGCAGTTTTATTTATTATTATTGTTATTTATTTATAATAATAGGTTTAATTGCAAAATTGTCTGAAAAACAGAAGTTACAATTTTTTTTTTTTTCATTAAATACAATTTTTTTTTAATTTATAATTTAACTTCAATGATTATTTAATTTCTATAATAATTAGTATATTTCAATCCTATGATACGGGTTTCTTTTTTAAATATTCAAATTCTCGTATTTTCATATTTTTTTTATAAAAATAAAATATAAAAGGAGGAAATTCAATGGTAATTGACGTATTTTTCTTTCTTTGAGACTAGAAGTTCAAATCCTTATATCTCATATATATGACAGTGCTAAAAAAAGTATGGGATGATAGAATGCTTTCACGAGTCGTTTAATGTTTAGATATTGAAAATAATCCTTCAACAGGTTCACCTACAAAAACCTTGTTATACGGCTTTTTCTTCTTCAGAAATATATTATAATTTTACCTACAAATTAGTTAATATATTATAATTTTATCTAAAATCTCAATAATTTATCTCATGGGGTTGCTAAAAGAAAAATTATGTAAATTTAAATTTTGTATAAGAAGATCAAATAAATTCCTAAAATTTAAGCCAACATAATTTAAAATTAAATTGGACAAAAAATAAAAAAAAATTGTTCCATAAAATATTAAACTTTAAAATTTTGTGTTCAATTATTTATGAATTTTTAAAATAGTTGAAATACTTAGTACAATTAAAAAAGGAAGATAAATTTTAATTTTAAAACTTATTAAATAATTGACAAGTTAAGAGACCGGGAGAGAGTGGAAACCTAGCTCCCGCTTTTTCCATCTTCCTCTCTCACACGTGCTCTACGCCGGAAAAAAACATGGACGGTGGCGATGGAAACCAAGCCTTGACCAGCACCCGGTTCTCCGACCTTGAACCTCCCCTCTCAGAACCAGTTCTAGAGGCGTTAGCCCAGTTAGGTTTTGAATTCTGTACTCCAGTTCAAGCCGCCACAATTCCGTTGCTATGCAGCCACAAGGACGTCGCCGTCGACGCCGCCACTGGTTCGGGGAAAACCCTAGCGTTTGTAGTTCCGGTCGTCGAAATCCTCCGACGATGTTCTAGCAGTCGCCCCAAACCTCACCAGGTTCGTCTCTCTACTCTGTTTGTCTCAAGCCCATTTGAGTGAATTTGTCTTAGTATTGACTTAAAAAGAGCGTGCAAATTGTATTTCCATACTGGTTCTTTATGTATGGTTCCTCTGCAGGTAATGGGGATTATAATTTCTCCAACCAGGGAGCTTTCCTCACAAATTTACAGTGTTGCTCTTCCTATCGTTTCTACATTGTCGAATATCAAATCGGTGCTTCTCGTTGGAGGCGCAGATGTCAAAGAAGACATGAATAAGATAGAAGAAGAAGGTGCAAACTTGTTGATTGGGACCCCAGGAAGGCTATTTGATATGATGGAACGTATGGAGAACTTGGATTTTCGGAACTTTGAGGTATCCTCCAACCTCAAGAACATGTTCCTGGCTACTGGATTGTTTGAGCTTATTATTAGATTAGCACCAACTCTTCTCTCTCATTCTGAACTCCTGTTTATGTTTTATATTAAGTGATTTTTTCTTTGAAGTTAGTTTTGCATGTATACTTTCAATCTTTCAGTTGATTTCTTGGAATATTTTCGTGGTATTAGATGATGTCTGGAACTAAATTTATAGGAACACAAAGTTATATATATCTTTGGTTATCTATCCACAGGTTCTGATATTGGATGAAGCAGATAGGCTCCTGGACATGGGATTTCAAAGGCAGATAACTTCAATTATAGCTCGTTTGCCCAAGCTTCGTAGGACTGGTCTTTTTTCAGCTACACAAACTGAGGCAGTTGAAGAACTTTCCAAGGCAGGGCTAAGGAATCCTATCAGGGTCGAAGTAAGGGCAGAAACACAACTTGCACCTTCGAGAACTCCATCTAGTCTTCATATTGAGGTATTCTATGCAACTTGTTTTCAGTTCAGTCTAATTTGCATGTTTCAATTTAATAACTCGATGCATGGAGTAAATGATGTATATGTGAATTTTATAGATTTCTTATTTACGCTTCTTTAATTCTGTCCATACATAATGAAGATCAGTATTATGAAGACTATAATCATGCTCTTATTGAAGTTCTTAATGGAGGACTATGAAAAGTTCACAATCAATACTTTATGCCCGTGAAAATGTTATGGGTGGTCAAGCAGTGTGGATCGGATTATGCCCTATTGTAAAGAAGGAAAAGTCGAGGATTTGTTTGGAACCATAGCACGCATGCTCGAAGACAATTATTCGTTAGCAGTTTTGCTTGTATGTCCTGCATTTTCCTTTTGATAAATTTTCTTTTCCTTCTGATTCCGCAGTATTTGGAATGTGAAGCAGACAAGAAATCCACTCAACTTGTCGACATTCTTGTTAAGAACAAATCCAAAAAAATCATAGTGTAAGTTAACCGTTGGATTTGAATACTTAAAATATATAAATTGGCAATGTTTTCCCCTCATTTTAGTAAGGTGTGGTGTTGTACAGATACTTCATGACTTGTGCATGTGTTGACTATTGGGGAGTTGTTCTACCACAGCTTACCCTTTTAAAAGGATTTTCCTTGATCCCTCTACATGGAAAGATGAAACAGGTACCTTTTTAGAGGTCATATGATGTAAATTATAATTACAATTTTGAAAGCTCAAGCAATGAGTTTTGCATTTCATGACCTATATCTTCTATGCTCAATAGACCGCCCGGGAGAAAGCACTAGCCTCATTTGTATCCCTTTCAAGTGGTGTTCTTCTATGCACAGATGTTGCTGCCCGTGGACTTGACATTCCTGGCGTTGATTGTATACTGCAGGTTTGTCCATGGTTACCAGTCCATATTCTTCTGCATATAAAACTTCTCCCAAAGAAATTATGCTTTTTTTAAATTTAAAAAAAAAAAAAAAAAAAATTGTAAGTGCATATATCCTTGTGCTTAAATAGATCTACTTTTTGTCTGGTATTGCAGTATGATCCTCCTCAAGATCCTAATGTATTTGTACATAGGGTTGGTCGCACTGCTCGATTGGGTAGAGAAGGAAATGCCATTGTTTTTCTTTTGCCGAAGGTGTGGCTGTGCTATTTGATTCTTCATAGTTTTTGCATCATATATTACTACAAAGAACTAACATTGTAACATCGAATGTCCCTTCAAATAAGGAAATTGGAAAAGAATTCTTCTTCGTTTTTAGTGGTTGTTAATACTAACACCAACATTCTGATTGACTGATTTGTGTAGGAAGAAGCTTATATAGAATTCCTTTCCATAAGAAGGGTTCCCATTCAAGAGAGAATTTGTTGTAGTGATGCCTTAGATATAGTTCCACAGGTAGATTGATTTTTTTTATGAGTGTTTCCATTCATTCTTAAATTTTTAGTGTTTATTTTAGCAGTGAAAGTTCAGTGTATTTTACTTTCACTAAACTACTCAATGTTGAACAAAACCTGTTATAGATACGAACTGCAGCAAAAAAGGATCGCGATGTCATGGAGAAGGGAGTCAAGGCATTTGTTTCTTTTATACGTGCTTATAAAGAGCACCACTGCTCTTTCATTTTCAGGTGCCTAATGATATTTCTTTTATATATTTTAAAGCAATCTGCAAATTCTCATGCTTTCTAAGGTTTCATCTTCCTCATTCAGGTGGAAAGAACTTGAAATAGGGAAGTTGGCCATGGCGTATGGTTTGTTGCAGCTGCCTTTGATGTCCGAGGTGAAACGCCACTCCCTTTCAACCGAGGGTTTTGTTCCCATTGAAGATATTAACTTTGAGGAGGTTAAATTCAAGTAAGGAGCCTTCAGAATCTTGAGTTTTACTGCCTTATTTTTTGAACATTTTTCAAGCAATTTGTTAGTCTTTAAGTTATAGGCTGCTTTCTTCCACTTGATTTGCTAGTTCTTTAATGATTTTTGTGCTGCAGACAAGGAGTAATAAAATTTAGTGAAAATTTCAATTTGTACTCCTAAAACTTTGCTAGTTAAATCAGTACAACCAGTGTCAATTAAAACTCGAAACCTTCATTATTGAATAATTTAGACTTAACTAATTTCAATCAATTCTATTTAAGAGCAACTCAAACTAAAGGTATTAATGAGTAGAGAAAAATAAAGGTATTAATGAAAGTGGCTGCTACTATCTCAATATTTTCTTTATGATATGTTAATTGCATTGAAATAGTCTTATGAATGTGTGTGAATTGTGCATTAATGATTTAAAAATAGAATCCTAATAGATGGTCTAAATTGATTCACTAGGGATAGAGTTGGTTCATCTCTTGTTACAAGTTTATAGCATGGAATGGAACAAAAAGATTGCATTGGCTTTGTAAACTCACGCTCTGGGCTACACAATTTGTAAATTTAGGCTTATGAAACTTGGCTATATAATCGGGCCTTAGGCCATAAACAGAGTTGAGCTTTTCGAACTTATAAACCAAATGCTTTATGAATTTCGTGTTGCAAGATCTTACATACATTTCTGTGATTAGGCTAACCATCTTGATGTTCCTTGTTCTATGTGATATTGCAAAGTAGAAGTTTACCACTAGCTTACAAGCGTGTCTTATTAGGGATAAATCTCGAGAAAAACAACGGAAGAAAAACCTCCAAGCTAAGAAGGAAGCACAAAAGCAACAGCCTAAACCTGAACCAAAGAAAGATCCAAATGCCGCAGCTCCCATCTTAAGAAAGAAAACAGCTCGACAGAGACGTGCTGTACAGACAGCTGAAGACGAGGATGAGTTGACGCGTGAATATCGATTGTTGAAAAAACTCAAAAAGGGAACTATCGATGAAGCTGAATATGCCAAGCTAACTGGGACCGAGGAGCTACTGTGAAATGCATGAGTAAATGCTAAGATCCTACGAAAACTCAGGACGTTTACGATCTATCGAGAGTCTCGAGCATTGGAGAAGGTCGGTATTCTTCCTTAAACCAGAGAGAATTCTTTCTGGAAGTTTATTTGGAGATGTTATGCTGTGGAAAAGCAACCAGCTCTTCAATGGGAATCTTTGGAGGAAGCTTTATGGTTTAAAGCTTTGGTTTCAGGGGGGAACAAGTTTTGCTCAACTGATACTGATTGGTCTACTGACATTCTTAAGAGTATTAAGTTCTTTTTGTTTCTAAATTTGTATGTTATAGAGCAAACATTTGCAGTGTTTTTGTTTGTAAATCCCCTTTCTCAGGCTTCACTGGAATGACAAGATATCAGTTATCTAATAAGACGTGGGCTTCTCCCCCGCTCCCCAATCTAACTCCAAATCAAAAGATTCTCCGTGTCTGAAATTTCTGAAATTGAGAGGGGAATGAAACATTTTTCTAAGGTTGGAGAAATTTTTTCCTAACATATACAATTTAAAATCGTGAGGTTGACAATGATATGCCGATGCTAAAATAGACAATATCTACTCACGGTAGACTGTTACAAATGACATTAGAGCTAAACACCGAATGACAATATCTACCAACGGTGGATTGTTACAAATGATATCAGAGCTAAATACTGGATGATGTGCCAGAGGATCTCTCCTAATTGGAGAGGAGAGCGATTATAGGAATAATGTTTTCCTAATTTTTATAATAATAAATTTTTTTTTTTTTTCATCTTTTTATGACTTAGTAATGAATGTATAATATTATTTGATTAAATCTAGTTTTAAAAAGTTTTTTTTTTTTTTAAAGAAAAAGTTCAAAAACTCACTTTTATTATTTTTAAATTGACTTACTTGCAAAACTATTTAAATTAAATTTTTAAATAAATTAATTAAAAAAAACCATTTTTATTTATTATTAAAAATGATTGAATTTTTCAAACACTAAACATGCCGTCGTCTCGGGTAAAGGCAACATGCTTCAATTACTCGGGGAACCTCTCCCCCTTCTTCAGTCCCTCTGTCGCCTTCGCTAATCAAAATCCTTTTTGAACCCTCGCCGGCGCCGTCACTCTTTCTCTACGCTTCTACGGTGAGTGGCTAAGATTTCAGCGTTTCGACCTTTACTTTTAGCTTTCGAAATGATTTGATTAATTCCGTCTTATTCTTTCGCATATTTGTGTAAAGGGCTTGTCTTCAATGTCTTCATTTCTATTGTTAGAGAACGGAAATAAATGATGTTTAGTTGTTTACAGGCGGAGTTGATCTTACAGGCTAGCTGAATGGCTACTGCCGGGGAAATTACTGCCGCCGAGTTCCTGCAAGTATGTTTTGTTTTCTTTGATTGTTGTTTTGGCTTATGAGGAATTTCATAATGGAGTTTGTGAAGTTAATTTAGTGTTTTGGAAGGTAAATAATGGTTGTTGTTCTCATATTCACTTTGCTGAGGGAGATTTTTCTGCTTTTGATAGGGCGGGCGTAGTCAGAAATTGTTTTTACAGAGCTATTCTCACTGTAAACGACGTGGATTGTGGGGGATGCTGCACAGTTCAGCTGTAAGATCGCTTAGTTCAAGCAGAAGATATGTTCCTTTGAGATGTCGTGCATCGAGCAAAGCCAGAGCTGTGGATTGTAAGGTTGTGGCTAATCCAGTAGAAGCGTCAAGCTTGATTGAGAAGCCCACTGCAGAGGTTATTCATTATTTCCGAGTCCCTTTGATTCAGGGAAGTGCCACTTCTGAGCTTCTCAAGTCCGTCCAAGCAAAGATTTCAAGTCAGATTATTGGTTTACAAACTGAGCAGTGTTTCAACGTTGGTATTCAGTCTGAGATTTCAAATGAAAAGCTATCTGTTCTTAGATGGCTTCTTCAGGAAACTTATGAGCCCGAGAACTTGGGGACTGAGAGCTTTCTTGAGAAGAAGCAGCGGCGAGGACTGGATTCTGTTATAATTGAGGTTGGACCCCGTTTGTCTTTCACCACAGCTTGGTCCTCTAATGCCGTGTCGATCTGCCAAGCATGTGGATTAACAGAGGTGGCACGTATGGAACGTTCGAGGAGGTATTTGTTGTATAGTAAAGGGGCGTTACAGGAACATCAGATTGATGAGTTTGCTGCAATGGTTCATGATAGGATGACTGAATGTGTTTATGTTCAGAGGCTTACGTCGTTTCAGACTAGTGTGGTACCTGAAGAGTTTCGCATTGTGCCTGTTTTAGAGCGAGGTCGGAAGGCACTTGAGGAGATTAATCAAGAGATGGGATTGGCATTTGATGAACAAGATCTTCAATACTACACCAAGCTTTTCAGTGAGGAAATAAAGCGGAATCCAACAACGGTGGAGTTGTTTGATATTGCTCAATCCAATAGTGAGCATAGTAGACATTGGTTTTTCACTGGAAAACTTGTTATTGATGGAAAACCTATGAGCCGAACGCTTATGCAGATTGTGAAGAGCACTTTGAAGGCAAATCCTAGCAATTCCGTGATCGGATTTAAGGATAATTCAAGCGCAATTCGGGGGTTCTTGGTTAATCAATTGCGACCTGTTTATCCTGGTTCAACAAGCCCTTTAGAAGAAAGTAATCGCGATCTTGATATTTTATTTACAGCTGAGACTCATAATTTTCCGTGTGCAGTGGCTCCCTATCCTGGTGCAGAAACTGGTGTAGGAGGACGAATAAGGGATACACATGCAACCGGGAAGGGGTCTTTTGTTGTGGCAGCTACAGCGGGTTATTGTGTAGGAAATCTCAATATGGAGGGGTCCTATGCTCCATGGGAAGATTCATCTTTTGCCTATCCCCCAAACTTGGCTTTGCCTTTGAAGATCTTGATTGATGCAAGTAATGGTGCATCTGACTATGGTAATAAGTTCGGGGAGCCACTAATTCAAGGTTATACTAGAACATTCGGTATGAGACTACCGAGTGGTGAAAGGCGGGAGTGGTTGAAGCCAATCATGTTCAGTGCAGCAATTGGACAAATTGATCATATTCACATCTCAAAGGAAGAGCCCGACATTGGAATGCTAGTTGTGAAAATTGGAGGCCCTGCTTATCGCATTGGTATGGGAGGTGGGGCTGCATCAAGCATGGTTAGTGGTCAGAATGATGCTGAACTTGATTTTAACGCTGTACAGCGTGGAGATGCTGAGATGGCTCAAAAACTTTACCGTGTCGTCCGTGCTTGTGTTGAAATGGGGGAAAATAACCCAATAATTAGTATTCATGACCAGGGAGCCGGTGGGAATTGTAACGTTGTGAAGGAAATTATATATCCAAAAGGAGCTGAAATTGATATTCGAGCAATTGTTGTCGGTGATCATACAATGTCTGTGTTGGAGATTTGGGGTGCAGAATATCAGGAACAAGATGCTATTTTAGTTAAGCCAGAATGTCGCAGCTTGTTGCAATCAATTTGTGATAGAGAGAGGCTATCCATGGCTGTAATTGGTGTAATAAGTGGTAGTGGTCGCTGTGTTCTAGTTGATAGTATTGCTACCCAAAGATGCATTTCAAGTGGACTTCCTCTCCCTCCGCCTGCTGTGGATCTTGAGCTTGAGAAAGTGCTTGGAGACATGCCTCAAAAAACCTTTGAATTCCAACGGGTTGTTCATGAGCTAGAGCCACTTGATATCGCTCCTGGAACGACAGTGGCAGACTCTCTTAAGAGAGTGTTGAGGCTTCCGTCGGTATGTTCGAAACGATTCTTGACAACGAAAGTAGATAGATGTGTAACAGGTCTCGTAGCACAACAGCAAACGGTAGGTCCATTGCAGATTACTCTTTCGGACGTTGCAGTTATTGCACAAACTTATTCAGGCTTGACTGGAGGAGCATGTGCAATAGGAGAGCAGCCCATAAAAGGCCTACTTGATCCCAAAGCAATGGCTAGATTAGCAGTTGGAGAAGCACTCACAAATCTTGTTTGGGCTAAAATTTCCAGTCTTTCTGATGTTAAAGCAAGTGGAAATTGGATGTATGCTGCCAAGCTTGATGGGGAAGGGGCAGCCATGTATGATGCAGCTGTGGCTCTTTTGGAGGCAATGATTGAACTCGGCATAGCTATTGATGGAGGTAAAGATAGTTTGTCAATGGCAGCCCAAGCTGGTGGAGAGGTGGTCAAGGCTCCTGGAAATCTCGTAATTAGTGCTTATGTTACTTGTCCCGACATAACAAAAACAGTCACTCCTGATTTGAAGCTTGGGGATAAAGGCGTTATCCTTCACATCGATTTGGGAAAGGGAGAGCGACGATTAGGTGGATCTGCTCTTGCTCAAGCCTTTGACCAAATTGGAGACTCGTGTCCTGATCTTGATGATGTCCCTTACTTCAAAAGAGTTTTTGAGAGCATTCAAGACCTCCTTGCTGAAGACTTGATCTCTGCAGGTCATGATATTAGTGATGGTGGCTTGCTGGTTTCCGCCTTGGAGATGGCATTTGCTGGAAATTGTGGCATCACCTTGGACTTGGCATCGTGCGGGAAGAGTGTTTTCCAAACCCTTTATGCAGAAGAGCTAGGACTCGTACTCGAGGTAAGCACAGAGAATTTGGATGTAGTCACGAGAAAGTTAACGTCTCTAGGTGTTACTGCTGATATCATTGGACAAGTAACTGCTACTCCTTCCATTGAAGTCAAGGTTGATGGGGTTTCTCATTTGAATGAAGAAACTTCTGTACTTAGAGATATGTGGGAGGAAACTAGTTTTGAGCTGGAAAAACTGCAAAGATTGGCTTCTTGTGTAGAATCAGAAAAGGAAGGACTCAAAGCTAGACATGAACCTTCATGGGAATTGTCTTTTGTTCCTTCCTCTACTGATGAGAAGTATTTGTCTTCTACTTCTAAGCCCAAAGTAGCTGTAATCCGTGAGGAAGGCAGCAACGGAGACAGGGAAATGTCTGCTGCATTCTATGCCGCTGGCTTCGAGCCATGGGACGTGACAATGTCCGATCTCTTGAATGGAGCTATCACTTTACAGCAGTTCCGTGGAATAGTATTTGTTGGAGGTTTTAGCTATGCGGATGTGCTTGATTCTGCAAAAGGTTGGTCCGCTTCAATCCGATTCAACCAACCCTTACTGAACCAATTTCAAGAGTTTTATAAACGGCGAGACACCTTCAGCCTTGGAGTATGCAATGGGTGTCAGCTCATGGCTCTTTTAGGGTGGGTGCCAGGCCCTCAAGTGGGTGGTGTGCATGGTGTTGGTGGGGATCCGTCACAACCAAGATTCGTTCATAACGAATCAGGACGGTTCGAGTGTCGTTTCACGAGTGTGACCATAAAGGATTTGCCTGCTATAATGTTAAGAGGAATGGAAGGCAGTACTTTGGGTGTATGGTCTGCCCACGGCGAGGGGAGAGCTTACTTCCCTGACGATGGCATTCTCGACCGTCTTCTCCATTCGGACTTGGCTCCGTTACGATACTGTGACGATGATGGGAATCCTACTGAAATTTACCCTTTCAATCTGAATGGATCTCCGCTGGGAGTTGCAGCAATTTGTTCCCCAGATGGTAGGCACCTTGCTATCATGCCTCATCCAGAACGATGCTTCTTGATGTGGCAGTTTCCTTGGTATCCAAAGCAGTGGAATGTGAGCAAAGAAGGTCCAAGCCCATGGTTGCGGATGTTTCAAAACGCTCGAGAGTGGTGCTCTGACGGCGCTTAATCTATTGGTATGTCAGTTTTTAATATGTTAGACGCAATAAATTGAGACTGGCGGATTGCCCTGTTCTCTTAATAATATTTGAACGCTTGGCATTTACATATGCCAATTTCAAAGTTGATCATTTTTCTAATGTTAGTGAATGCCTAATGCACTCGGTATGGACGAGGAAGCATAAGGTTGTTTGTTACGTTGCAGTCTATCTATGAGATCCACATCGATTAAGAGAGAAAGGGACGAGTGTCAACGAAGACGCTGGCCTCGAAGGGAGTGAATTGTGAGATCTCACTTCAATTGGAGAGGAGATCGAAGCATTATTTATAAAGGGTGTGGAAATCTCCCCTAGGTTTAAAAAACCTTTAAGGAAACTCTGAGAGGGAAAACTTAAAGAGGACAATATTTGCAAACGATAGGCTTGGATCGTTACACTACAAGTAGATTAGAGCCCACATTGTCAAGATCTAAATCTTTCCTCCTATGGTTCTATTGAACAGATGAAACTCACTTGATGTTTGGGATATAGTCATTGAGTTCTTGGTTGACGATTGAGTGTAGAGTAGCTTCATAAAATTGAAGAAGTCGAAGATGGTTAGCTGAAAGAAGAATGAAATAGGAATATGTGTTCTGTACGAAAGAGTAGGTCCTAGTTCTCCTAAATAATTTTATTGACGAGGTAAAGAAATGAATCGAGTCAATCAGGTCATCTATATATATATATATATATATATTAAAGCAACTACTAAACTAGTCTTTTTCGAAAAATATTGGAAAACTATAAATATAGAAACTTCCATTTTTGAACACTATTTATGAATGGAAATAAGAATAATTTCCCACAAAATACACTAAAAAAAAAGATTCTAAATTCCATATAATTCACAAGAGACCATAAGAGCATGCTTTGCTTTGGTTCAATGGCTTATTCATCACCTCTTTCAACCACTCCACTATCAAGTGATTATCATAATATATCTGAGTTACGTATATATTTCGATTATAACTCATATTTATTGGTGAGATCAAATTTGACCTTTCACCACTCATTTCCAGATGATCGAGTTTCTTTAAACCCCGAACCCCTAACCAATATTCAAATATTTTTTATTGAAATTGGTTGCATCAAAAGAGGAACAATTTATTATATAAAGTCAAAAACTGTGACTAGTGCTGTTGGTTCATGGCTGAAAAGGTTGTCAATTCAAAACACACACATTCTCTTTCTTTTTGAAATACCTTAATTTCTCGTTCAGTCCCCAAAAGTCAAACCATTTTAAGGAAATGAAAATTTTAAAGTTGGTCAACTTTTTGACAACATTCATAATTAAATAAAGACAAAGGGCCAAATAGCAATTATTTATGGTGTCTTATCAATAATACTAGACTGCACTATATAAGTAGCTAGGTAGCATCATACTTTCATTTTTCATATTTAAATCCCACTAATAAATAAGATTTTCATTTATAAAAAAGGGTGTGAATAATTCTTAAACATTTTCATTATATCATAATATATATATATATATATATGATTTAAATTTGGACACGTAGAAAATGGATCACGAGTCATGAGTAAAAAGCTAGAAATAAATAAATGGTTCAAACATGAAACACATCCACCATTTTTAATTATTATTATTATTATTTTCAATTTTTTTAATTCAACCTTTAATTCTTATATGCTCAAATTTGTTCAAACATTTTGTTTTAATTTTTAAATTCTCGAGATTTATTGTATTAACTATTTTTTATTCTCATAAATTATTAAGTGGGAAACATCACAAAAATGTTTTTTTTTTTTTTTTTTTGGTATTTGTAAACATTTTCTTCTACATTATCATATGTTCCTAGTTTTAAATTTTCATGGGAATTTTTTTTAACATAACGGTGTGACACTCGAGTGAAGGACGTGAATAAGTTGAGACCACATACGAATGAGAAAGACTTAGAATAATTAAAAGTCACTACCTATACGAATAAGGTGCACCTTCCTTTTCGGTGCTTCAATTATAGGAACGGTGTGTTTGCTTCGAACAATTCTACATTGGGTGACCTTCAGAAAGTTGAGGATAGGACCTGTTGGAAGGACTTTTGTTGGTCTATGAGGATAGTGAAACTCTCATAAACGAATAGTAAGTAATGTGACCATGTTGCAAAGTATGCAAAGAAATGACGAGATCTATCATGTGTTCAGATTCCTAGGCATGAACTGCTACAAAAAGTAAAAGTATTTTTAAATTTTGTAAATAAGTGGAAGGGTATTAATTAAACTTTTTAAAGTTGAAAAATATCTTAAATGTTCCAGAGTATTTTTGAAATAAAGTATTGACAGCTTCCTATGAGTAGGAGTATTTGTTAGATTTTTTTTTAAATATTATTAAAACTTTAAAAAATGTAAGGATCTTTTTAAACAAAATACAAAGTTTAAAAGGGTTATTTAATAATTTAGCCTTATAACAAATTACTCGATATTATATTCATTAATTTTAATTCTTTTACTTCCATTTTTTTTTAAAAAAATAGTCTTTATTGAAATTAATTTTTATAAAAATTAGTTAAATAATAATTATAATGAATTTGATGTACTATATAAATATATTTCCAAAATTTCTAAATTTAATTCCGCAAATAACATCTATAATTTACTATACTTTTAATTTGGTTCTTTTACTTTTAAAGTGTTTTTTTAATTTATTTTTTTTTTCTCTTTTAGTTTAATAATATATTAGGAAAGAGATTAAAAATCTTTAAACTTCTCAATAATATAATTAATTTAATATGTTTATGTTTGGAACCTTTTTAATTATGATAATCTCGGTAACTTCTTTAAAAAATATTTAGTTGCAGTAAACATTTTCTTACACACCATTAAATTTATTAATAGAAAGTTTTTTTTTTTTTTTTTTTTTTTTTTTTTTTACATTATCAATTAAAATGTTAAGAAACAATGTCATGTCCAAAAATGGTGTCATAGATTACATTGGAAGAGGAAGCAAAGTTGAAGCACTGAGACCGCGGAGGAGACGGCGGCGGGAGTAGAAGAGACGGCGGTTTCTCGTCGGAGTAGATCTGAGGGCAATTTGGGAAAACAAGGTGGTCTTGTTGCATTTGAAAGCAAAGTATCTCAGATTGAGCAACAGCTAATTGCATTTGAAGCTGAGAAACTTGGTTTTGTAAGTACGAAATTGCCCCTACACAACCATAAACTGGGTCCCTCACTCTTGCAGTTGCCTCATAAACTAGGCTCATCACGGCGTCGCCTCTTTGTTGCACCGGCAGTTCCTGCAACATTTTGCTGACATTGCTGGCACCAAAAACCTTATGAACAATAGCAAATTTGTGGGGGTCATCGGAGGGGAAATATGGGGCAAAAATGCACTCTTTTGCGCACCGTCGCCGGAGGAGTTTGCACGACGCACAGGGCGAACTGCCTCCCATATTTTTCCTTGTTTTTGCCGGAAAATCTTAAGAGAGAGAAACAGACGCCGGAGAGAGAGAGAGAGAGTTTGGCAGACTGAAACTCTTCAGAGTTATTATTGTTGAAGAAGAAAGAGGTTGAAGAGAGTATATTTATAATGGGAGACCAACGCGCGTGGCCTAAAGCGAGTCATTATTAAAACACAAAATAGATTACTTATAATTACACATTAATTGCCCAACAAAAATAGAGATGATAATTAATTAATAATTGGATTTTTTTTAAAAAATTAAATTTTATATTTTAAAATTTGTAACAGATTAATTTTTAATTTTTAATATTTGTCTGATTTTTTTTTATTTAATGATTTTTGCTTAAATATATTGGGTGCTTATTTGAAAAAAATTGGATGAAACTAAATTGTTATATATTCAGAATTAAATTATTATATAAACTCAAAATTAAAATAGTAATAATTACTCCTCGTTAGTCAACTAGAATTTGAGTCAGTCACTGACACGAGCAATATGTGAGGCAAGTAGAGAATTGCAGCTGGGTCAACAGAGAATATGAGAAACTTCTTCTTGCTCCCTCCCCATCCTCCACCTCAAACCTTGCAAAGATTCAGCCTCATAGATTAAACGAACATAAAGTTTAATTTGATTTTTTTGTAAGCATTTTATTTATTGATGTCTCTCAAGACTGATCCTGAGCGTGTTTAAGATCACGGCATCGCCCAGTAAAAAATGTGCAATGTAACTAGTCTACCATTTGCATTAATAAAACCCAAATCAAATATGGTTGGAAATGTTTGTTTGTAGTTTAATTTAATCCAAGTGCTAATTAGGTAAAGAAAGGAAAGAAATCAGTCCTCGTGAAGTTGACCCAATCAAATACGATTGCTTTCATATCTCTCATGAGATCACAAACGACAATGCGTGAGAGAGAGAAAAATATATTTTTCAAAAATTAGTTAAAGAAATATTTATTAGGGCAATTTTTTAGAATATTCAAGTATACTAAAATTGAGCTGCGACGATCCAATAAAAGAAATATATACGAATAAACTGAGACCACATATGAATGAATGCAATCTTGAGAATAAAATGCTTATAAAAGACTTAAAAGAATTGAAAGTCGTCATCTATACTAACAAGGTGCACTTTTTTTTCCAGTGGCTCAATTATAGAAACGTCATGGTTAAGCACGTTTTAGTTGAAGTAGTTCTATGTCATCGTGAACTCTTAAGAATTTTTTTTGGAATGCATGTAAGTGAGAACAAGACAAACTGGAAAGACTCGTATTAGTCTGTGAAGATAGTCTTTACTCTTAAGAAACAAGAAGTAGATAATGTGATCATGTTGGAGAGGATGCAGTGAAATGCTTAGGCCATTAAGAACGGAAATATTGTATTTAAATAGTTACAAAAATTATAATAATTTAAATATTAAAAAAAAAAACAACAACTTATAAGAACATGATTCCAAACCAAATCTCAGAAATATAATTAATTAATGAATCAATTATTAAAAGAAAAAAATCCCCTATCTAAATCTCACACGTCTTCTACATGAATTAAATTATATCCACAATTGAAAGATGCTTGAAGATAAATAATATTATATTTTTTTAATTTTAAAAAAAAATTACATTAAATTCTTGCAATTCTATTATTTGCTTGACAAATATAGTTTATTAATATATATATTGAAAATATTATTGGTTGTAAATTCCCCATTCTCTTATTTGGACTATATGTAAGATGGGCTTTCAAAATCTCAATAGGGTTTTTGATTTGGGCCAAGGCCCAACTTCAGAATAAATTGTGGGCCCTATGAATGATCCACCAAGGAGATTAATGCATTTTTAATATTTAATTCTTCTTTTAGAAAACAACAATTATATAGTAATAATTAGGTCTCATATATGTGTGTTATATGCTCGAGATTATTTATTAGGTATTTTTAATATAATTTTTTTTCAAAGTCGTAACATTTTAATGTTATTAAAAATAATACATATTTTTCTTAAATTAATTATGAATAAATGGTATTAACCTTAATGGATCATAACCAATTAATTATTATTATTATTTAACTTTTAATGTCTGTTTGTCAACCATATTTAATTTTTCATTTCTATAATAATGACTTTTCTCGAGTTTCTATTTTTCAAAATACTTTTTTAAAAGAAAAAAAGTGGAATGGGACTCTGCGCGAATCGCCAAAGTTCTAGATTTGGAGGAAGAAGACAAAGTTTTTTTTTATATATATATAAATAAATTAAGTATAAAAAAAAAAAAATTATTGTTTTTAAATTATAAAATATATTAAAAATTTTGGATATTTAAATTTAAAAACTATTTTCAATATAATATTTTATATTTTAGTTTATCATTTTAGAGAACATAAAAGTTAACCGACATGTTTACGTCGTATTTAATTCGTAAAGCACATTTTGAAGTTTTAAAGGTAACTTTTAATTTTATTTTTTATTAAATTATTCAATTTAAAAATAGAAATATTAATCAAAATTTGATATCATTAAAAGCTTTTTTTAATTTCATTTTTTATGAAAATATTTCTATTAATGAGATAAATTCCAGGAATGAGTACTTTGAAAGGCATGTGTTTGAATTTTTCCCTATTTCTTAAAAAGGATAAACTTTGAAAATTAAATTAAAATATATATATATATATATATATATATATATATAATGATAACCAATCAAATCTTGACACTGAAACAATTTTTTTTAATTATTTTCTCCTCTTTTTATTTCTATTTCTTTTGTCCTTATCATTATAAATAGTCAATTTGATGCATAATTAATAATATTAAACATTATCCTAAAAAAAGCGAACTAAAATATATATTTAATTTAAAATAAAAATTTTAATTTAATTATTTAAATAGGGAAAAAGGAGAGATTCGTAATTGGAAAATCAAAAGTCTCGAGATATTTACGGCGGAAGAGCTTAACCACATCCATTTCACAACAGGGCATGAGCTTGACACGCGCTCGTCTCCGCTTCTCAATCTCAGCCGTCCACGTTTCTCTTAATCCAACGGCTTTCCTTCATTTTTCGTTTCCTTTATATTCTCCCTCAACTCTCTTTTCCTCTTCCATCTACATCCTCATCCTCTTCCACCACACGCACTCTCTCTCAAACCCTCAAATCAAATCTTCGTTTTCATTTCTGGTCTTTGTCAGTTCGTCAATCATGCTTCTTCCAGCTCCTTCCGCTTTCTCTGTCGTTAATTCCCGCGGGGAGAATGTTGTTCCTTTGTTTTCTTCTTCTTATTCTTCGATTCTGAAGCTTTCTCCGGCCAGAAATGGTGGTGGATTGGTCATTTCGGCCTCGAAAGGAGGTTCCAACACTCGGCCATTGACGGGGGTGATTTTCGAGCCATTTGAAGAAGTCAAGAAGGAGTTGAGTCTTATTCCTACTGCTCCTCAAATCTCTCTTGCTCGCCAGAAATATAGCGATGCCTGTGAGGCTGCAATCAACGAGCAAATCAGGTGAGTTTGGTTCTGTTTTTTAGATGGATTTGTACGTGTGGTTTCTCTTGACGGTATTGTTTTCACGTATTTGGTTGGTTTTTGTGGTTTCTGTTCTGTTTTTGGAAAGGGTCTTTATGTGGTGATGATCTTCTGTTCAAGAGATTTGGGTGCTTGGTTTTATAGTTCTCTGCTGTATTCTTTCCATACTTTCTGATCTTCCTTTGTGAGATAAATAATTTGAACCCATTTGAGTTTCTGTTCTGTTTCTATCTGATTTGATGTTTCTGTGGCTAACAAGGTATGATTTGATAACAGTGTTGAATACAATGTGTCCTATGTATACCATTCCATGTTTGCGTACTTTGATAGAGACAATGTAGCACTCAAGGGATTGGCCAAGTGAGTTTTTACATCTCATCCCATTTGAGTTATTCTTCTTCTTGATCTTTTTATCCTTGAACTGAGATGAAAAATGGTGTTATTCAAAGGTTTTTCAAGGAATCAAGTGAAGAAGAGAGGGGTCATGCTGAGAAATTAATGGAATATCAGGTAGATAAGATCGAGTGAAGTTGATGTTGGTTTTTTAATCTGTTTTTTAAATGATTTTGGGCTTGTTTTCTAGAACAAACGAGGTGGAAGAGTAATATTGCAGAGTATGATTAAGCCCTTGTCTGAATATGACAATGAGCAAAAAGGAGATGCCTTATATGGTTAGTTTTGCTGGGTTTTTTCTCCTCTTTGGTGATATTTGATTCGCTGTAATAATATGAATTCTCTCTTTTTAGCAATGGAGCTTGCTTTGTCCCTTGAGAAGCTAACAAATGATAAGCTGCTTCAATTGCACAAGGTAGAGTTTAGCTTTCACGTTCTCGTCCCTCGTGTTGCCAGAGTTCGAAAGTGTTTGAAATGTGTTGATATCATCTGCATTGTCATTAGGTAGCTGAAGAGAATAAAGACGTGCAGCTGACCGAGTTTGTCGAAAGCGAGTTTTTGGGAGAACAGGTATTAATTATTGATGATGATGTTTGTTCACAAATGAGCTGAAATATATTCACAATTGTTCTTCAAACTTTGTAGGTGGGAGCAATCAAGAAAATCTCAGAGTATGTTGCTCAGCTAAGAAGAGTGGGGAAGGGACATGGTAAGAATACACCGACCGCTCGTCTTTCTCGTTCTACATTGATCGGAATAGATTGTCGATCCTAACCCATATGAATGAAAACATTTTCAGGAGTTTGGCACTTTGATCAGATGCTGCTTCATGCATGAGGGGAAATCAACAATGGTGCTTGTTTGGTAGGGCTACATTAGAGTTAAGTTTAGTGAAATATGAAAATAAAATGGTTCAGCTCTGTTGCTGTGCCATGGGTGGGTATGCTATTAGGTGTTACAAATTTGTCTTGTTAACATGTTAATGTTTCTTGTTATTTTTGTTTCAAATGTTTTATCTTAATAGATTGAACATCTATCTCTTCAATTCTTGAATTTAAAAATAAAAATATTATTATCCTATTTTTGTAGAAACAAAAAGAGGAAACACTTCAATTTATAAATATTACCATATACTTTATGAAAAAAAAAATCCTAAGAGAAATATACTAATATCAAATGATTATCCTTCATTTTTTCTTTTAAAAAAAAATTCGAACATAAAATAATAATATTTTCATCTCCATGTTGGAAAAATGGAGAAATTTGACAGACTACGGAATTAAATAGAAGCAGTGTGTTCATCACATTTCTAGTAGAATTAAATAGTCTAAAGATCTATTTTACTCATAATAATAACTAAAAAGAGTGGACAACTGTGTTCAAATCATGACTACTACTACTACTACTACCATACTAAACTCTTAAGCCGTGGCTGCGGTTTGGCTGGCAAGCCTCTTCCTGGCCTCTTCAATGATAGATAGTTTGATACCCTTGCCCTTGGGAAGGGATACCCATGGCTTCGTCCCCTTCCCGATGGTGAAGACATTGCACAGCCTAGTGGCAAATTCGTGCCCAGTTGCATCCTGAACGTGAATAGTCTCGAAGCTTCCCTTGTGCTTCTCCCTGTTTTTAATTACTCCGACTCGTCCACGATTTCTTCCACCGGTCACCATCACAACATTTCCAACGTCAAACTTGATGAAATCAGCGATCTTGTTTGAGTCGAGGTCCAGCTTGATAGTGTCGTTTGCCTTGATCAAGGGATCGGGATAACGGATTGTACGTCCATCGTAAGTGTTCAGGTAAGGGATTCCCTTCTGCCCAAATTGCACTGAGCGAACTTTGCAGAGCTTAAACTGCAAAAACAATATCAGAGTCGTACTAAAATAGATTTTATAAGACAGGATTGTTGTATGAAATAACAGATCAGAGCTCCATGCAAATGACAGCAACTAACCTTAGACTCCTCATCCCTGATTGAGTGCAAACGGAATCGGCCTTTTGTGTCATAGAGGAGACGGAAATTCTCATTTGTTTTGGGAATCGACACAACATCTAAAACAAAAAGAAGCAAAGGCATTATGCATAAAATGTATCTAAATAATAAACGGATCACATTAAGCAACAACGAGACAAAGCAGTCCCATATGTTAAGATAATAATATTGATGAGAGTAGACAATCAAATCATTGGAACATATTGTATATCGGGTTACTGTTAAGTATCTTGTTTGCAAATGGAAATTTTGCTGGAAAAGTTGAAGATGTATTCGCTATACTCCGCCTCATTTGTTTCAGACAAAACTTCTTATGGGAACAAGATTGATTGAAAGTGCTTTTGACTTTGATTAAGAATAATAGGGAGAAGAGTTGAAAACAAAGACATACAACAACATAAGGATAGTAGTTATTAGGAGGGTGAGGATGAGGGGGAGCACTGGAACTATGAGAAATGCTCAATAAATATTGAAACTGAAACAAAGGTATAAAATACAATGTTTAAGATCATCATACCCATGAAACCAGCAGGATAGGTCTTATCTGTCCTAACCTTCCCATCGACCAATACATGCCGTTGCATCAATATTGCAATGACCTCACGGTATGTGAGAGCATATTTCAATCGGTTTCGCAAGATAAGGATCAATGGGAGACATTCCCTTGATTTATGTGGTCCAGATGAAGGTTTGGGGGCCTACAAAGGTGTTTAAAAGGTAGAACTAAATGTCAGAAATAAGCAAAACGTGAAGCTAAATGACAAGGTAAACTGAAATGGGAACTATAAATTTCACTCACAAATGCACCACCAAGTTTGTCGAGCATCCAATGCTTAGGAGCATTGAGCCTCTTCAAATGCTTCTTCAATCCTCTTGCCTGTCAAAACCATCGACATTAATTTCATACGCAAATTTAACAAATCTGAACACCGAAATGAAAGTTAACAAAAATATGCGGATGAATAGGGATTGAGGGACGACCAAATTAATTGTGCTTTTGGGGATCAATTAAATGGTGAACTTAAATTTACATGATGGATGGTAGCAGAACAGAACACATCCACACACTCTAGAGCAACATATCACGAAAATAACTCGTGTAGGCAGTTGATAGACATCTCTGAGCCCGTAATTCCTATATGAACAACAATTCTCACAAAAAAAGAGTAAAAAAAAACCAAAATAATGCGAACATATAGAACACTGGAAACCCAGTTGAGAGTGAGAGTTCGAGAATCGTGGATGAATGAGCCGAACTCTTTACTGTAGTGGGTTTACAGGTTAGAGCTCGCAAGTCTCAAACAGATAGCATTAAAAAATCGAATTCTATCGAATCACCTAATAACGATACAAACATAACAAACAAAAAAATCACTATGGAGATGGAGATGGAAACAACAGTATAGACCATCTTAACCTAGAACGAAAATGGATATATCATATCAAGCAAAGGAGAAGAGAGTTTGTAAAGAGATCCACGGACCATATTTTCAAAACGAAGTTCGACGGAAGTGAGATTGCCGCTGGCGGCTGCGGGGAGTGAGCTAGAGCTTCTGCAGACGCGAAGAACGGAGTTGGACCAATGGCGGAACTACGTTACATGAAAGCTTGAAGCCAACAGAGAAGAATGGAGGTTATTTGAGAGAGAGAGAACTGAAATTAGGGCAAAGTTTTTGGGCCAATAAACTGGTATGTCATTAAGATTTGGGCTGGGCTTTGTGGAAGAACTGAATCTACATCGTTTGGGTTATTGGGCTTGGGCTTACGGCAGGCCCAATTGAACGTCAAGGTTCAAAGTTTCAACTAGATTTTAAACTTTAATATGATAACTATAAAATAAATTCTTCCAAAAGTCAATAAATACCTTTAAATTCGTACTTTTTATTTTATTTTTATTAATTCGTTGGGTTTAACTACACTGTTGCTATAAGCTAGTATGTGACTTATTCAACATTAAACAAAGGCCACATTATATATTTTCTACTTCGAGTTTGGTCAAATTAGGCTTAAACATAACCCATATCTAACCAAACCCGACCCTTGTAATCTAGATTGGATTGATTCAGGTTGTTTGGTTCATTATACACCGCATACTACTTTATCCACTCAATTACATAATGTTTTTGTTGATGCATCGAAAAAAGTCTAAAAAAACGTCAATTGTTAAAACCTTGTCTTACATACTCAATTGTTAAAAGAATAATTTATACGTGCACGGTTTTAAATTTTTAATTTCATTCCCTTAAAAACTTAAGTTGCATTTTCTTAATTTTACAATCAATTATGGTTGAAAATATAGAATTAATAGATGGAATAAAAAACTATATTATTGCTCAAACCTCGTTGAAATTTACAAGTTTTTTATAAAATTATTAAATATTTGATTCGTATACTAATCAAACCTTGTTTTGTTTTATTGTTAAAATAAAATTGACCTAACAAGCCTTCCCGATTAAGATTCAAACTGATTTATGTATAAATAAATAAAAATAATAATAAAAAGCATTTAAGTGAGAAGCCACGTCATAGCGCCAATTAACTTTCGGTCGTGCCTTGCCGCGTTTGCAGAAAAAACCCCTTCTGTATTTATTTCTTTTATTTTTTTAATTCACATTTGGTGGGAGAGAATTTTTCGGTGCTTTCCCTTCCGTTATATTATATATATTCTTGAATTCTCTGGGCACGGATAGGCGGCAGGAGCGAAGCAAACTGTAATGGCGGGTTTTCTTCTACTTTTCTTATTCTTGTTCACTAATTCTGTAGCCGAAGAAGTATCGTTCGGTATCAAGCAACATCTATCGACCGTTACTAGGTTCTCTCTCAATCATCTTTCTCATTCATTTCGCGATTTTTCTGCTGTTCAAATTGGTTTCTTTTCAGTCTATCTGTGTGTGTGTTTTTTTGTGTGGATTTAAGTATTTATGTGAGTGATTGGTGATTGGTTTCATGAGCAACATCTTTCGATCTCGATGTGTTTTCGTACGATGATTTGGACATTACTGTTTCGAATTGAACGAGTGAAATGGAAGATCGATTCCTTACATTTTTAGATTTTGCTCAAGTTCCTTGAACACTGAAAAGAAAGTCAATGGCCTTATCACGTATGCCTTTTTTTTTTTTTTTTTTTTCCGTCTCGATTTTGGTGG